AGTGTTACATTTTGCTATTACATGTTGCATTTGTGGAAAAAAATTTGAACACAAAAATTATGTAAGATACTAAATTACTGAAGTTTATCATGAACAACAGATTTTAAACTTTAAAAAACTTTTTTTGGTTGATTTTCAAAAAAAAGTAAATTACATTTTATCGATATAAATGAAAATATCTTTCCAAGAAAAGATAATTAATAATATACTCTGATGCATATTATTATTATTTATTAATTAAATTTGATATTTATTATTACATTTTTGATATTAAAGAAAATTCATGATGAAATTAATATTTTAAAAAAGTAATACACAAGTTAAAAATGATGTTATTAACTCAAAAACTAAGATTAGAACAGTTTTGTTTAAGATTTTCAAATTTCATAATATGCATATACGAAATTTTTGGAGTTGCACATGTTCTGATTCACACTACGTATTGCATGATTAGAGCACAGTCATGTATTTTATTTTCCTGAATTTAAGAATGATTCTCACTCTTGGTGAATTGATGCGAAAGTGAAATCTCTTGCACAAGGCATCCCAATTATGAATCCACCAGGTGACGTATAATAGAATTTCACTCAACAACACCTTGTCGCTAAAAGAAGTTACCTTAGGAGCAAAAACAAAACTTGGCGAATGCAAAATACACCTTTTTGTAAAGAGACGTACTCGTTTTGATCACCCTTCTACTTGAGAAAGTAAGCAGCACACTTTCTTGGATAACTAGGGAGACGAAAGATCTTATTTGCTTACGTACATTTGTTCATACAAATAATTATAATTGCATGTTCCAAAGATTTGACCACTCACAACCTTGTCACGGTCTGGCTTATCTTAAAAAAATAATGAGCAAAGAAGGTGATATTAAATAAGGAAATTTGCTGTAGGAACACCAGCTTCAAATTGCACAACTGTAGAACGACTTTCTACAGTCGCTCGGAATGTACAGGGCGAGTCTCTAATCGCAAAAGCAGGTCTCTACGTACAGTGTAATAGTTATCGTACATTACAATGAGACCTCTAACGGACCATACTCTGTCCGTCCGTCTTCAGAGAGATGACCGGGCAGTGACGAAGGCAGTCGAGCCCTAACAATAACGGTTGCCGGCTGCTGAGGAGTGACAGATGACAGGTAATGGTATGGGATGATTTGAATATTTACATGTGAAATTATAAACTTAATAACATAGGGAAAAATATGGGTATCCTAACAACTAGTACATGAAACCAAACATGATTCACTTGCATCTCTTATGCAGGAAAATTGAATAAGATTTAATTTGTATTATGTTGGTGAATCTTAATTTAACTCCACAATGAAACCACAAGACTTTGTTAGATTCTAAGAGATGAAATAGTCTAGAAGTTAATAATGTGACTATTTTATATTCATTTGAAATGCAGACATCTACACAAAGTTGTAATCATCGACTCATTTCCACTTTTCATACTAAAAGTCAATTTTTCGTATTGAAATGACTGCAGTGGTGTTGAAACGCCATTGCTCAAATGTGTTATATTCTGTAAGTGATATTACGAACTGAGGCCAAGTAAGTAGATCTCAGAAAGGATGAAATGTTTTGGATCAATTATGATTCGAAATATTATAATGCATTCCATTCTTTTAAACGAAATTCTAAAGCTCAAATGGAAACGATCGGTATTCATCACGTTGGTTCATACGATTTTTAAATGGACCTGGCGGTCAAGTCCATTCTAACTAGGATCTCCGTGGAAGATCGGAATATATTGCATAACTTCGTTCGAAGGTGAGATTCTCTCTCCAGGTAGTAAAATTTTCAGGTCAAATGTGTTATGAACGTTAGATCAATGCCCTTGTGTGGATGAGTGAGGGGACTCTGTTGATGCCAATCATGATTCATCGCTGCCCTCACGAAGAGCTCAATCAAACGAAGAACCACGGCTGCCCGTCTTACATTAACGGACTTATCGGAGGAAGATCTCTCGCTCGGTCTGTACTGTACTTAAATCGAGGTAACCAGGCGCGTAACCTTCCTGGCAGCTACTGTACCTGTCGCCCCAGACATTTGGCTCGCGCTAGTTGCCCACTTACTGCTCGAACTCCAAAGGGACCTAAATCAATCAGGAGTTCGCAAAGTCTGATAAGATCGAAGATCGTCGGAAATAAAGCTCATCTGACAGCGTACAGTCATCTGATACACCGAGGATCTGAGTCTTCTGCTCCACTCTACCGGGCTCCAGCAGGAGCAGGAGGAGTTCGCCGGCATGTCGATTGCTTAGTGGTTGTATGAGCAACGACCTGAGGAGGCTTCACGCATGCTGGCTGTTCTGACCAGTACAAGAACTTAGGGATGGGCACGCAGCCGGCTAACTTTCGACTAGCCGGCTAGTCGTCTATCGATCGAAAATGCAATATACCGAAATATTCGGTCAAAATACATGTTTATTGAATAATTTCGGCCAAATCCGAGGACATTCTCCGCCGAAAACGTAAATTCGGTTCGAGTTTCCGGTTCGTTTTCGGCCTCGGATAGAGGTGGCAATAATTATCGGCTAGCCGTCGGCTAATCGACAAGCCGGCTGTATACTCGGCTAGCCGGCTAACAAAAAATATTAGCCGGCTAGCCAGTAGCCGAGCCGTGCCCATCCCTACAAGAACTTGGATCGATGGTCTGGTGTAAATCCGGAGACGCTGGTCTTGAATCGGATTCGCTGTCTAGTCAAGTGGCCCTTTGGGTTCTCGCGTTCAGGGAAAATCAGTTGCATGTCTTATTTGGAGAAGGCTATAATTGGGGTCAAGTGGTCCAAGGCTGCCAAAAGTTGCAGTTGGGGTCGTAAGTTCGGATCACTTTCCGGCAGGTCTTACTTTGATGGCACCCGGTGTGGTTCACATTTCTAAAAGTATCAGGATGGTTCGATATTTACTCGGGTTTCATATACTCGACTTAACTTATCAACGCGTAACATCCTACTCTTTTACTAAAGCGAATGGTAAAGTTCTTTGAAGTAGGTGTGTGCCATGAGTAGCACACACTATGCATGACATGTGATGATACCACAATAGAAGTGTGACCATCATCATGTTTGTCATGATGATTAAGGTGAATCGAGGAAAATAGCAAAAATCGGCTGGAAGAATCAGGTGGATCAAACCAGAGGTGAAAGATAAGTTCAAACCCTTTTGCATCATAATATATAATGTCTTCTTGAAACTATATAGTGCGGACAATCTACATATTGCAAGAGCACATGGAAAAAAAATACCAAGTTATAGTTTACGGTTTGCATCATATCATGTTATTCTATACAGCAATGGATGCATTTATAAAGAGTTCACAATAAGGTGCAGAAAGTGATTCTTCCCATGTCACAAAGTATGCTAATTCTCTCTCACCGTCTTGCATACTATTGTATTTATTTTCATAGAACACATTGAGGCAATTCTACACATTCTACAATATCGTGAAGTTATTGTAGAATGACATGCTATTTGCCTCTCAATCATATTCATTCATTCGTCAAACTCGAGTTGTATCTTAAGCTGGTGGAGCAAAGAGTTCAGGTTTCTAAAAGTCCCTATGTTTGCCACCAGTGAAGTCAAGTGAAAATATATATGGTTGGATGTAATCCTTCTTGATTGGATAAGTAATGCCATGCATATGAAATCTAACCACAACGTCTTACTTTAACATAAAAAGTATCACTTTTAAATTAGCATTAAGGTTTGAGTTTCAAGTTATAAGAATTAGTGTTTCAACAAACTTAATTTCATACTTAAGAAGTAAATCATGAAAATGTAGACTATGAAATAAATCAAGATTAAAGTATAGCCTCGAAATATTATATTTGGTTGCGTCAAGTCCTACATAGTTAGAACATAGTAAGACCAATACTCAATTTTATTTTAGGCATAGTAACTTACGCTTCATGATACTATAGCAATCAGTCTTTCCGTCAATTTCATTCGTCGTGTAAGTAATTACAAGTCGAGAAGATTACCAGTATATGCTTCCACATAAAAATTGCAAAATTTTATTTTTCATGTATAATATCATATGAATATCATAAAAATCGCTCATGATACTATTGACAAAGATGTCAAACCTGATAACAACGTTTGAGAAGTAGATGTATGAAGACTATGATAATATATTTGCATTGTTATTGGTATTCTTTAGTCATTAATGTATTTGAAAGTAAAATAATAATAATTTAAATTCACAAAGTATAAAGTTTTAGACAATTAACCATAATACCAACTTCTACAAATTTGAAAGAAATGGTTACTATGTACATATTACAGACCTATACTACTAAACATGAAGATTGAAATAAATGATGTTTAGTTCTAATCAGCACAATTACATCTCAGAACTCTTACACTGAATTTGAATGTGTATCGTTTGTATGATATTTTTGTATATTCTTTTCCAGGTTTAAATCTCATTCCATCATGTGCGGATTATCATAATTCATTTCATAATCTTATTACATTATCGTAAGCATAATTTTGTTATCAATGTATGAAATCATGGATTGCAAAGTTTTACATCTTGTACAGTCTATACTTGAAGTGAGCACTATGTTGTAGATGGAATCTATCAGTACCGTATGTTTTCAATCTTAAACAATGTTTCATATTTCCATTATGCACCTTATCATAAAAATCGTGAAAAATATTTGACATGTATATACATTACTTCCGGGACACATAAGAAATTCGTAAATGAAAAAATCTATAGAATATTGACATATATGTAAAAGTAGAATCAACTTTTTCGATTTCAACACAAGTATCAAATGATAAGGATAGTAATACTGGCAATCTAAGTTACCCTAGGAAAAGAAACGATGTATATTAAACCTTAGAATTATTCATAAATATTTTTGAAAAGTATGTGATGATAGTTTCATGCAAGGTAACTTGGTAACTGCAGATCATGGGGGCAGTACTTTAGATCACATTTTTTAGATACATTTGTCCAAGGTATAATGTTTGGCCTCCCATCGAATCCAATCCGCCACTCATTGGATCCTGCAGAGACTTCGTGCTCCTCTACGTCTAGTGTAGATTATGGCATTGGATAATATCAGTCCACTCATCCTCATGTTGAAGCAGAGTTTGTTTTCAGTAGTTTTGGGAGTTGCAGTTTGGAAATTACAATCTGAGGTATGATTTTGTTTCTTCTTTCAAGACCAATGAAGTGTTTTTTATGTCGCAGTGATGAGTAGAAGACAAGGTTGCGACTAAAACTTCAGAATATAGTCTGTGGACTGTACCAGCTATATATGATATAGTTTTCGAATGATTGCGAAGTCGACCTGGCCCAATAGAAGATTCAATTGTTTACTTACAGTTTCTATCATTGCGCTTCGAAACAGCTGCTTGCCACATTTTCTCACCGCGAAATCATCGTTGATCTTGGATTGTAGATTGGTACATTCTTGGACATACCTCGAGTTTCGATCAGTTACTTAAATCAAGCTCTGCCGAACGACGATCTGCTCGGTACTGTCTTCTCCTCGAAAATTACTGCTCGCCGTCCTCGAGAAAGTCGTTTGCAGGTAGAAGACTGAAGTAATTTTCGGCTTTTCAAGGGATACCCTGGCACACGAAGTGGATCTGCGTACTTGGACCACACTGCGTATCTGCACGAGTTCCGTGAGCTTGAAGGAATTTTCCATCGCTTTAGGCCATTCTCAGCCATTTCGGCTGGACGGAGGGAAGCTTTGGGATGTTATGGCCCTGAATAAATTGTTCCTCCCTGCCAGATAATTTGGAAGCAAGGTTCTCTACGGGCCAACCGTATTCAAAACGTTGTCTACGATTCTCGTGTGTTGCCTCAAGAATTCGACGACAAGCTCATTTGCCTCGTCAGAGGCTTCAGAAGCTTCAAGGAGGCATCCACTGCGTGACTAATTCCCAGCCTACATGACTAATCTGTGTTCATTACTTTGAGAGTCGCTCAGTTCAGCGGGTGTATAATCATGTGGGGTCGACCAAACATAGGCTACTACCCCTATGGGTGACCTCCACAATAATTTCTGTTGAGCTTGATTTGTTATTGATCATCACAGCGACTTTTGGTGCAGCATAAGTCTAGATATTGACGGTTGTCATACAGCCTTAGACAGCTGACGCTGGTATAGTTCACTGGACTTTCCTTCTTATCAAAGTAGGCTTGCTACGCGGGTTCAACATATGACAGAGATGAGTCACGTACCTGTTACTGAGGCATCACCTCCGAGCACATTCTAGAAATAAAAACAGAGACTTAACGCAGGCTGGAGGACACGGTGAAATTTCAGCTTCTCTTCGTGCTATCCACTTGACACTAGTGAGTTCCTGTCCCAGGCTTACAATGATGTTGTGTACTGTTAACTATTTAAATAAAATGACGGACGAGGCTTCGTCCAGAAAGAGTTAATGGGATGAGCTACGTGTAGCAATCACGAAGGAACTATCCGTAGAAGGTAAGAATTACGTGTCGACAGAGGTTCGTTGTAAACTAGGGCCACATACGGAGCCCAACAAGCTATCCAATCCACAGAACACACAGAACCAATACTGCGAATGTAATAGAAACGATTCTAGTCAGACGACAGGATTCAGCGAGCACAAACACTAGGACTCTTACGGGCATCGGGAAAGAGGTGAGCGTACAACTTCCTCTCCAAGCGTAATTACGTTCACAGTTGAATTGCAAAAAAACTCTCGTGGCCAGAGTTTTACAGCCCATCAACTGACACAGCAAAGATATGCAGACAGGGAATTGCAACAGGATAAGAAGGCAGACCCGTTCGACAATTACGCCAGCACACTTGCCTCTCTAACATCGACCATCGAGCTCTCCAAGCTCCATAGGTGACACCCGTCTTCGATCGACGAGGCTCGTTTCGAAGACCAGGGCCGCAATCGTCTTCGATGAGAGGATTCTACTCAGTCGATCATCGGCTCTAATCCTCTCAGGGAGTACTATTGTGGTGGTAGAGGCAGGGAACTTATACTCGCATGGATTCCAATTGTTCCAGCTGATGACGCAGGTCCTCAATTCTGAGCGGCGCCAACCCTAACGTCCAACGAAAGCCGAACCTCTGGATCTGCTTTTGCATTTTGTCCTACAATTGTGGGAAGGGTTCCTAAAACATTAAGGGTAACTCTAAAACTTCCCACAGATGTTCGCCGTGCATAACTCCACGGACCTACTATAATGTGATTTCGAGTATTATTAGCTTGACATCACTAATTTGGTGAGGCCTCGATTATTATCAGTAAATGGTGTGAGAATGTAAAATATCGTTAGGATAAGTCGTTTTAAGTTTCATGTACTAAGAAAGGAGCTCTAATGTCAAATTCTTTATCAAAGTACTTCCAATTCCCATTCTTTATCATCTTCCTAAGTTCTTAAAATTTTCAACGTGTTGAGATAACCCATGAAACCTCGAATCTAAAAATCAGAAAGATCTTGAAGAGGTATGCATCCACAAATGGAATTTTAATTACACAATAAATTTCATAGTAGAAAAGAATATATCTACCAGCGGATGGTACTAGTGATTATTGATCAACTCATTTCTGTCTTGTACAAATGTTTAAACTGACTTATCAAAGTTATATATTGCTCAAGGTTTCCTTCCCTCAAAGATTCGTTTGAAAATTGTAGGGTCCGATAATTGATATATATATATATATATATATATATATATATATGAACCAAAAAACAACTTACCCAGCAAACTTGCGACTTTTAATCTTAGTATGTGAAAAGGAAGGTCATTAAGATTTCAATCACTGCCTTGCACTTTAAAAAGCAAGACATTTTGAATTGTAATTATTGAACAAAATAAAGTAAGAGTAATATTCAAAGCAAAAATACTAAGCAGTATAGATATCACTTTGTATCTATAAAGTTCGAGCTTGCTTTTAGGAGAAAAATTCACCTTTTAAGTACAATAGACAATATATATGAAAATCAAAACTCAATTTTGATACAAAAATCATGAAATATACATGAGAAGGTGGTAAAAGTACACAAAATTTGCATAAATATAATAATCAATTGTAAATTTTCTAAGAGTTTTCCTCTTCGTCTTCTTCATACCATGAATCCTGCCACCACACCATCAAAATTGCAGATCTCGTACATCGTAAGTATAAATGGTTCGGACTAATCATCTTAGAGTTTAAGATTATCTTGGAAAAAATGTAAACTTCTGGCTATTTGCTTTTTCTTTCAGCCAAATTAAAATGATTTGAAGCATTTGTTCAACAAGTTATCAAAATAAGATAATTATTGGTTTTCAAACCTGAACATTCTCAAGCTTGTTAACTTTGTCAAATGACCGAGATTGACATGAACGAACAACCTGCACACAATATACTTTCACATAAATATTGACTAAATGTTAAGTAACAAAAAATGATTAAATAATTAATTACTGTATTTATATCTTTTTAGAATCTACAAATCTTGCCAGTTTAGAGAAGATTGTAATATATATAAAAGCTAGGATGTTTCATATATTTAAACTTTTTTATAATTTTTACGATTAACATCTCACAGAATATAATATTATTCACCATAAGTTTTATATTATATCCATAATCAAATCATACTGATTGAGATATATAATGATAGTATTACAATTATGCAACTCATTCATCGTTTTAATTGGATTTCTTATTCTCATACTCATGTGAAACACATCTATATGTATAATTTTTATTGAAAAATATTTTGGTTTTTATTGTTTATACAGCAGCAATCATGTCACATGACATTTCATAAATGGATTATATCATTTAATATAATTATCACAACCATTAGTGTTCACCATGAAGTATCATTCCATAGGAAAAATATAATTCCAAAACTTAGAAAAAAATAATATTAATTGAGTTAGTTTGAAAAAATTGTCTTGTACAATGATTCAAAAAAATTACCTTCTCATATGGTATACGCTGTAGATGATGTCTTTTGATATCCGATAGTTTTCTTTCATATTTTATTTTTGTTTGCATCTAAGAACCACAGGTTTATGAGTCGTGTTAGTGTGATCAAAATCTACTATTGTCTCTTGTGTATGGTAGTTTTGCAAAAATGAACTATTTTAAGCTAAGGTGATATATTTAAGAATACGTCAAAAATGTTGAAATCAAACATACCATGTGCTTTTTTTCTCGTTCATGCCAAAACGTATTGATCAAACGCTGAAATGTATCAAAGAAGTATATTTTAGTAAATTAAAAAAATAATTTAATTTACTATCTACATCAGAATCATTAAGAATTATCATGATATTGGAAAAACGAATTGTCAGTAGATATATTTTAAATATAAGGAAAAGTAAAATTAGAAAAAAAATCCGATAGTTTTTGGTACAGTATATAGTTACAATAGCGATGAAAGTACAACTTATTGTGTTATTTTAAATTTTCCATAAGTAAGAATCTAAGACAGGAATCATGTTAAAGAACTGCTGAAGAAAGTGACCCAGTAATACCAAAAATTCATGTAAATCCTCGATTGAAATATCCCAAGAGTGTTCTCTTCGAAACGTCATTACCAACTCGTACAGATCAGCAGGAATCCTGACATTCAACAGAAATGATTCATCCCTAGTGATGAACTATGAAACTTTGTTTGCACAACATTGTAAAGTCCACGTGTGCATTAATGCTCAACTTATGGATTGCACAGAAAATACTTTACGAGTATTGGTCATTCATCATTGAAGAAAAATCACGACTTTTGTGTCTTACCAGTTTTCGTTCTCGGTTTTGAAGTTTACTGAACTTCCTGTGCTCAATGCGCCGTATCTCTGCGCTAGAGTCTGAATTGTAAGCCCAGATAAAACAAGGTCGTCATTTGGGTTTGAGTGAATATATTTGGCTTGCATTTTGCAAATTACCTTTGGAAAAGTCTGAATTTTGTAATCCTATTTACTATAATTTTATCCTGATAGCATTGATTGTTATTGTCAACAATATATACATATATTCTACATTAGTCCAAGTTTACCTGATATTTTGATGCTTTGAAGTGAGAAGGACTAAATATCAAGCCGTTTCCTTCTTTCATCTCTGCAATTTTAGAATTGAATACAATAGAATAAGCAAACCGAAAGTGATTCCATTACATCTCCAATGAACCTAAAAGGCAGTACGACGATTTTCATGAGTCAACTTTGTAATAGCTTATATCATGCTTGAGAATGTGTTTGTTTGTCTTATATAGGGGTTGATTATATACGTCATCCTCCTGCGTTATATATATAACAAACTTGTATGCTTATGATTTTTTTTTATAAATAAATAAATAAATAAATCTTTAAATCTTATAGTATTTGCTAAACAACAGATGTTCATGTATATTTCTTCAGGTTTCAATTGCACACCTTTTATAAGATCTTGATATTCACCACTCTCAGCTAGCAATTGCACAAGTCGAGCATTGTCGATCCATAATTGATCTACTGTCTCCTGGATTAGTTTATGAGAGAACTTCATATGAGACATTAGATGTAACACGTTACGAAGTTATACTGGATTTGAGCACTGGACAAGGATGTATAACGAAGATTTTCTGCAAAGATGGAGTAGGTCTACATATATCTGACTCATTTATATATTCGTATGAGACTTTCAAATCACTCACTTTGTGTTCACGAAACTCAGCACATACGTCCGTCAACTCTTGGATCTCCTTAGATGATGCACGAAGTTCTTTAATTTTTTCTTGGTATGCTAGTTCCTGCTTTTTCAGGCCATATTCTTCAGAGCAACACTTAGCAATGAAAGGTAATCTCAAAAATATGTTTAGAAGCTCAACAAAAAAAATTCTTGATGTATATGTATAATTTGTTCCATCAGAATGTGTCTTTCAGAAGTTAATTTCATCCAAAGCGGCATGAGGAGCACCTGAACTTCTAAGTTGTTCTTTAACTCGGTTTCTTTTGTCTTTGTCTGCAATAATCAAAGTGTCATGTGCTTAGCAGCAAGTGTAGGTTTTGTTCATAATGTCTTTTTAGAGTACATTAAGACAAATGTATATTGTCTCAGTTTTCAAAATTTTTTCATAACATTTATTTATATGAACATTATTTTTCGATATTTTTTAGCCATCCATGTTTGATACTTCGATTAGAATTTTTCATAAAAAACACAGACACACATATATATACACTCTATATATCAAACATGATGAATTATCCTAAATCCTATGTATCATAAAATGTGTATGTATACATATATGCATACAGAATTTTTAGATTTCAAATCTACCTTGGAAAGTTCTGATTTCGCAACGTTTAATTTATGCATCAGCTTTTCAATCTTTTCATCCTGAAAAAAAAGGGAGAAGTCAGTACACTCATGAAAGAATGTAACTCAAGGGAGTCTTGATGTGTTTTGTAAGCAAAATGTAAAACTTCATTTTTGATAGTCAGCTTCAATATAGTGATTTTGATAATATAAGGGCATTAGCTTTACACATGTTCGGGACAAACGAAATAGGTTAACAGAGTTGACAAATAAAGGGCAGATAATGTGAAGTTTCCTACTTAGCGCATTCCGGGCTTCAGTTGCGGCCAACAATCAAATGTTATAATCCATTCAGTCTAAATCACGACCTGAATTACGGCTCGTTGTTCATGTAGGCATAGTTGTTCCGTATATACTTCTCTTTCCTGCATCATAGTATCCGTTTGAAGACGAAAATGATTTGGATACGATACTACGTAATCAAAACTTATTTTTGGTAAGAATTGTGTTTATACGTGTACAACAAAATATCCAATGCATATATTTAGTTTATCAATCATTCGCCGTAATTAATCAATATTTAGTTTTTATATACTTGTTAAACTTCAAACTTTAGGTTTTGAATTCAAAAAAATTTGAACTTATTATGGTACACATATATGCATTAAATGTCCATATGATTGAAAGGTGTCCTATCTAGAACTCAATAAAAATGCTTCAGTACGAGACATTTTTTTACACACTACAAATTTACAGATATATGAGGAAAGATTTGAAACTTAAAATTCGAACTGGTATATTTATATGTTCTTAAAAATATGAATTTCTAATACGTTCCATTCAAAAAATCAATAAAATTTTGTAAAATTTTTCTAGAAAGGCAAAGTATAATCGTACGATTTTGTTTCTACAATTGCATATTCATGATGAGATTTTCAAAAAATATATATATCTATTTGATAAAACATGCAAGACATATAAAAAGTTCGTTTAGAATACTTTCGTAAGCTTCTAAATACTATAAGTAATAAAAGTCAAATTGAAAAGTAAAGAAAAGATTTCTTATCAGTTTGTAGAGCTATACATTTTAAGGTCTACTGTAATTATTGTACATATAAAAATCTACCTGGTTAGCGCAAGCTTGGATTTCTTGGATGCTGGTAGCAAGTGTTGCATTTTCCTGCTCCAGATAGTTGCAATTTAGAAAGAATCAAGTCGTTTTCTTTTGTTTACAGGTATTTACAACGTTAGTCTCAGATATCACAGGTTTTGGGAGATCCATAGCACATTTTGCACTTGTTATTAGACCCCAAAATCGAAAGGGATTATATTAAAACTAGATTCTAAAACTAGTGAATTTCTTGTTACAGGCTCAAAAAGCTTGTCTAGATACAAACTTACACGTTTGGATTCAACACACATGTCCTTGATTTTTTCTCCCAACATTCTTATTTCCTGCATAAGAATTGGGTCTCTTCGTTATTGCAGACTATCTAAGGCATCCCAAAGATTTTCGTATGTACATTCTTTAGGATTTTTATGTTTTCCAAATTTACAGGAGCAGGCACAAATGTTTGCACTTGGAACGTTTTTTGACGATAGCAATCATCTTCTGATTAAAGGACAGTAACATCATCTATCCTGTATTACAGGACTGGAAATACGATACTAACAACATAGGCGGAATATACTCTGAAGACAGATTTCCTCATGTCGACCTTTAGTTTGATAAGATTAGAATGAACTGTCCGAGGTTATGTCCTTCTAAAGTATTAAATCAAAGAACCCTAGCCATATAAACTTTCACAAAAGTAGCAAGATATGTTTGATCTGATTTGTATAAAATGATGAAAACGTCTTTACATTTAAACAATCTATATTGCAGTGAAGAGCTTGATGCATGAAAGTAAAGAGTGCTAAAAGTGACCTCCTTTTGTTGGTGGATAGTATGTTGAAGACCTTTCGTTTTCTGGTGCATAACAGAAAGCGTTAAGATGAAAGAATTCTTTCCAGAATTTCTTTGGGTTGCAAAAATTCGAAGTTAAAGACATCCATAAGAGTATTAAGATCACAACTATAACCACACAAGATTTCTTATGGGACATACCTAACTCATAAGGAAAAATCATATTCTATACATTTAACCTGAATGAACTCGATTAGACTTTTTTGTACCTCTTTGCTTTTTGCATGAACAAGATCCAAATCTTGCTGAAGAGCTGAAATCATCTGCAAAATAAGAAGATACAAGTTTATGTCTCATAGCATTTTCATAGAAACAAGTTATCATGAAATTTCAGGCTTCATGTAAATACTTGAAAAGAGGATAAGGTAATGCTAATTTAAAACCCCAACCCAGGGCCAAATGAAAAGGATAGAGTTGGAAATTATCGTTATGAAGCACTCTGTTTCTATTTGCGAAATCAATGTCTCATATGCAAAAAGTAAATACCTTATGGTTATTGGAGGCTTTTCTGTATAACCATAGGCTATGCATGTCGATATTGTGCACAATTATTGTCAATGGTCATCCTTGATACTTGAATAAATAAAGACGTACGAGAATATAATTCAAGTAAGAAACTACAGTAGGACCAACCTTCTTGTGCTCCATGTGGATGCGGTCATTGCTTTCCCCAACAGCACGAAGTTCCTTCAGTGGACTTCAAGTATGTTACTTTTGCAAAAGTCTTGCCTAAGATGAGTAAGCAGCCTAGTGTCTTTTATAACCATAAATAAGTTCCGATCGTTTCTTCGCACAAATGAAGGTTAAATAGTATCACTTTTGGAGGAGATTGAACCAGGAAGAAATCTCACGTCAATCTATTCTATGTCGGGATCATCCACATACATCTTAAACAAAATATTTGATGGCATTCATTTAGATGCGAAAAGAGTTAGAAGCTATAAGTGCAAGATAATAACATAACGAACTTTGTACATAATGAGAAAAATGCACTTTTTACTGAACTTATGATAGGGACTAAACATGGACATTTACAAGAGATTATATTAAATGTAAACCAGTAATTTTATGAATATTAAAGATATAAAATATTTGATATAATGAAAGCAGTAATGAAAGTTGATGTGATTAAATATGCTACATTCATACCTCTCTATGTTCGAGTTGCATCTGCTGAATGGAGACTTCATACGCTTTGATCCCCTACATTTTTTTACACTGAAGATACTGAATCAAGCTTATGAAGATTAAAAGTATGACTGGAAAAGACAATCACCAGAAAACATATTGAAGAATGAGAAGTTTCGATTCTACCTTTGATCGAAGCTTGGAAAAACAAGTTAATAAAAATTGAACGGATAATAAACTAAGCACTTAACCGAAAGTGACCATTAAAACTTAATTTAGATTCCTGCTTCTTAGATTTGATGCTCACAAAACTAATACGCACACGGCTCTGAAACATAACAAGTTTGGTACTTAACCTAAGGGTAGGTTTTGGAGTCACATTCCCGATAATGATTATAGTTGTTTAATATACATATATTTATGCTTCAGAATATTCCTTAGATTGAGTTTTTGCTTACTAGGACCCTCAAGCTCAAGATGTTCTTCCCAGTACTTAAACTTGTCATCCTTCATGACGTGTGAGGCATGAACAAGAACGAAACCTAACTTTCCTCCATATTAGGTAACAATGTCCACTGTGAAGCATGACAAGGTACAGTACTGGGAAACAAATTCCTGGGAACTATGATTCGGAGTAAAATCGCAAAAGATTCGAATATTTGAGAAAAATTTTCTAGTCAGAAGTTTACAGAAACATGATCTTCTAATCTCATCTCACCTGTATTCGTTGAGCTTCCATGAGCTCCTTATGGGCCTCTTGATTCTTTACCATCTGCGTAATAAAATCAGTTTTAAACGTTTATTTATAGAGGGAATCAATCATAATGCTTCTAACATTGTATTTATATAATGATCTGATGTCTAACATGGTGAAGCATCAGACTACTTAATTTCAGCCGTTAGTACTTTTCAGCAATACCTTCCCCGAAGGCAAGACAAGACAGGATGTATGCATGAGAAATTATTTTATTTTGCTTCAAAATTAAAAGTGATAAATTCAAATATTACTCATCTCTTTCTTCCTTAAATATGATACAACATTCATTTAATTGAGACTGAGCTAAGTTGACAATGTCGATAAAAAAATCCATGAAAGAAACAAAATATACTTTCAAAAGGGTAGAAAGTTAGACACGAAAAAAAACATTCCTAAAATTAAGAAAAAGAAAATTTAAATTTTTTTAGTCTTAGATCTCAAATTCATAGAAAAAACATAGTTTGAATCAAATCCTTTGTGTAAATCACAACATACAAAAGAAATCATATCTCAAGATAATGACTGTTAAAACTTTTTTTCCAAAAATATGCACATCTTATGCATACTATATCTTAGAAATCACAATGTATGTGAAAAAGCCTACCACTAAATTCAAGTTTTGATTTCAATACAAAAGAAAAAAATGATGATCCTACTTCAAATCCGAGTAATCACTGATTTGTTTTTGAATGAAAATTTAAAGATACATTTTTTGCTGATAATAGTGGTTTATAATACGTTTTCAGAATCGCAGATGATCTTCGTCAAATTTACCTACAATATTTACAATTATTTCTCGTTGTTTTGCAAACTTTCTCGGAAACACATTAATGTTTATTTTAAAATTTACTTATGATGCATATACATAAAAGTGTATGGATCAGATTGCACTTAATGCAGACAAAGTTGATGATTTCATAGATAAATTACAATGAAGTTTGACATGACTTGGCTAGAACTATTTTATGCAAGAAGAATCTAAAGTTTCCATTTCATTTACCCCCTCATTTTATTCCTGAGCGGATACTTGGTGATGCAAACTAAGTTTTCGTCCAAATTTATCTTAATAACATTAATATACTGTAAATAAGACTGATCTATTTTCATGTTGTAAAAAGTTCAAACAGCTCGGTCTTTCAAGCTTTATTTAATACAAGAGATACCCTTACAGAATGTTCATAAATACCTCTGTCATATGCTTAATCTCATATTCTTTAGATTGACATTTCTCTTCCCAATTCTGTAATCTCTGCATCCACCAATAGAAATTTGTTTGAAACTGTGAAGTGCGTATTGTAATATACTAGTCCTAGTGCTGAACGTGAACTTTATTTCTATCTACGTACTGTAAGAACTGCTAACTGCAACCATTCCTTTTCTACACTGTTATACGGCTGAAAAGTACTGATAATGTAAACACATCACATGGGACGAGTCCACATAGCATTTTTACTTGCAGGGCTTGATGGGTTTTTCCCAACCTTATTCTCTATTATCCATTTGGCCACGTTGTGATTTTATTAAGATTTCGTGCTTTTTACTAACTACAAAGATCGTTTAAATGCGGGTAGGTACTTCTACTACAGTTGTTACTTGAAAGTGTCTTTCATCATTCTTCGCTTGAATTCTTGAACTACTTCGCCTCCTTGTGGAACCTGTTGTTCTCGTTTTACACTCGGAGACACTCTCCACGCAATATCCACTGATTTCTAAGTCTGGGGAGTACACAACTATTGCAGTGTGCTTGATTATGAAAATCCAACGAATCCAACGATAGCATTACCTTTCTATATTCTTGAAGCTCACTGTGCAGTCGCATATTCTCTTCTTCGTATCTTTGAATCGTCTGCGTGAAGCAAACAAAGTGGGTGGAAAGGACAAAATATCAATTCAATTTTTTAGTATGTCAAAGTTCCGGATAGTTATGAGGAATTCTTTCTGTACAGTCATTGAAGTCGAACTACATATATACATCTTCTGTAAAATATCAGTAGTTGATTCAATGAATAAGTATTGAGTTTAGACGTCAGCAATTCAACGCAACAATGGAAGGTACTGAAAATTTAATCTTATTCAATTTAAGAGTACCAAAAGTTTTTAACTTACTTGCTTACATTCAGTAAGCTCCATGTGTGAAAGTTGATTGTTGTCTTCCAACCTTTGTAGTTTCTTGAAAAACGCACAAAATGATTATTAAATTCGTGAAATATCATGCATTACATTAAAAAGTATCTACGAGTCATGACCAATTGGCTCCAATTACAAAACTTCGTTTCCTTATCAAATATCTAGTATCTGCAAAGAATTAGCAGGGAAAGATAAATATGGATTTCAATCTGAATGAAACTGATCTCGAGAACAGAAGTTTTTCGTTCGATCTAAACCCTCCGATAGCTATGTGATCATGTAATAATTGATAACTTCGAATTAGTTCGGAAATTTTGAGGTTCACATTAGTACTCTTGAAATTTACCAAGAAAGTTCTTAGTAAAAAAGAAGTATATTCGATTTCCATTTAAATTTTTCCACGATAATTTTTTTTCCAGATCTCACACACTGAAATTTGTTCAGTAGCTTTGAAAATTACTTTTTTGCATGATGGAAATGTGAGTTAGATAGCCTGAATTGGTGCTGACAAGTTACTGTTACTTTTTTTTTACTTTCACACTTCTTAATATAACTTATACAGCTGTATCACAGATTATTATTTTACAATTGTTCTTTCATCATAATTTATTTTCAACTTTATCTGCTGTATCTATTTACCATTTATATCAGGAAATAACGCATATCATAAGTCACGAACATTAATAAGTATTCGAGTTTCATTGGAATAATAACTTTTATTAGACTTGACTTCTTATGTACTTTCTTGAAATCTAGCAATATTTTCTAAAAGGGTTTCAAGGATCAAAAAGGATTTCTTGAGGTTTTTTATATTTACTTTTATTTTGTAATGAAAGATGTAAATATAATATTCTTTAATCCCAAATCTTTTTCGGGGGTTAGTGAACGCCATCGGCCACGTTAATTCTTTGTGATATTCAGGATTATAATCTAGCAAATAATCCTTATCTTGAATCTTTTCACTGCGCAGATCAAGTTCAAAATTAAAAGTTGCGAAAATCCCTCCTCTCTTTTCTCTTTATAAAGCTTTACATATCTTTGTGCCTCATTCTCACCTCATGAAATTCCTTTTCCTGATAATGAAATAGCTGATTGTTGTGATCAAGCATTCCTATTTTCTGCAGTGGAAGATGGTACATTCCAGAAAGATGAGAATCAAAACCACTGATCAGAAAGTTCATTGGCCAACTTAACTTTCCTTAACTTTCTTGGTCCTCCCACAGGATAAGTTCGAACATGGATCGTGAAACATTTACCTCTTCCTTTGCCATCAAATCAACCCGCATATGCTCATTGACAATTTGTAGGCTTTCAATTGTCTGCATTACAAAGGAGTGATATCAGTACAGATTAGTCAGTAAAACTGGATCAAAACATATGTGACATACGAGGATAGGGAGACCCCATCAAGTGAAACTCCTATATCACTAAAGGACCGCTGCTAGAACCTAACATTTTCGGCTATAGATGCACTAGCCTCATCGTATCTTGCTGTTCACATATGATAGTTGGTCAAACATTTCTCATATATAGGGTTTAGAATTGGAAAGAAATGTTCTTCAATGTTTTAAAAAAAATAGGATGCCTAAAAAAACAAACGAACCTATACAACCTAAACAAAAAATTCTTCACCTTCACATCATGCATCCTTAACATATTATTTTGAATGACTAAAAAAATATTTCCAAGTATTAGTTGTAATAATGTGCTGCCTCCAATATATTATGAGACCAAACCCTCAACCTTTCATGGTTGATATCATTCCTTTACAGAGAATAATTCTTTAATTATGTTCACATTATCTACAGAAATTTCAGTTCAGAGGAATGTTAATGTTGTATTATTCAACTCATAACACATAACACATCTTTTTGGTATGCTAATATAACATGTTGATCGTAAAGTATTGCTGCGGCCTGTTTAATTAGTGTGAGCGGTAGTTATAATATTTATCTTCTACCCGAGGTAAAAATGTCACAGCAGATTGGACTCTTATACGTGTGCTTTACATTCTTAAACATTACATTACATTTGTCAAATTAGACCTTTTTCACTTTTCTTTAAAAAAAAACAAATAGATAGATATTTATTTATTTATTCGTATGTAATGGATATCTCATTTGTATTTGGTAAACTTGATGTGATTAAAAAAATATACCTTAGTATTATTCTGACTCTTAAATCTTGCTTAATAGTAATTTAAAATAATGTATCGAACCTGCTTTTCACTTAATTTACTACCTTTCATTTAGGTTGAAAGATTATATACCAGGTTTTTAACAGATATTCAAACTCAAACTTACTCCCGTAGTAGGTGGTTCCCGAGCTTTTATTTCGACTGCTCATTCCAGCCCTTATTGAAACTTCTTCAGCGGATTATAATTTTCCACACCAACTCAATGACGCTATCTGTTGTCTCTTACCTCCTTGTACTCCTTCAGCTGAAGCTGCAGAAGCTGATTGTTCCCTTCTATGCTTTGCAATTTCTGCATTGATAAAGTTGAACGGTAATCTTGTGCCTGTCAAGTTTGATTCCTTTAACTTGGAAGAACTTCAGTTTCTTTAGCGGATTATGATTTTCCACACCAACTCAATGACGCTATCTGTTGTCTCTTACCTCCTTGTACTCCCTCAGCTGAAGCTGCAGAAGCTGATTGTTCCCTTCTATGCTTTGCAATTTCTGCATTGATAAAGTTGAACGGTAATCTTGTGCCTGTCAAGTTTGATTCCTTTAACTTGGAAGAACTTCAGTTTCCAAAAGAGATATACTTGTCAATGTGTTAGGGCAATACTTGTCAAGCCCTTAGAACTAGTTTTACCTCATTTTCTCATGTATATGTAAGCAGGCAGTGGCCACAGACAAACATTTGCTACCTCTTTGTCTTCCTTCAGCTCGACACGCATCGCCTTAATACTTTCCTCAGATGATGACATTTGCTGTACCCAAGAATGCAACTTTGATAAATGCTTGGTTTGGATTGTAAATTGCAGTGAACATTGGACCAGATTAGAGTTAGTGGTTGGTCAAGTTTTTCAATGACAACTCATTTTTTTAGGTTGAAAATGATTGTGATCATTGAAAACAGTGAGGTCTTACTTGTTTACATTCTTCTTTTTCAACTCTCAAGCGCTGATTCATGTCTTCCAAACTCCGGAACTTCTGCAGTCGAGTAAGCAACTTCGATGTCGGTAAACATTGTCAGTGAGCTCATCCTTTTCTCGAATTTGGATCTTATAGTTACATAACATCCTTATATCTGTAAAAGTGTTGCCAAACTTTATAGATTTTTCTCCGTTTTTTGTATCGGTACATGTAGAGAGTCGTTCGAGCACATGTTCAGACTCACTTCTCTACAATCTTCTCTCTCGACTCGCAAGCGATGGTTGCTATCCTCGAAGCTTTGCACCTTCTGCTGCGAAGTATTCGAAGTTATTTCTCCGTTGAATTGGTTTGCGCGAAAATCATCAACACGATCACAAACATTGGAAAAAACGAAATGTCAACCTAAATTTAAACTTCTTGAAGTCCTCTCACATCTGGTCATTACGAGTGTCACTTATACTCATCTACTCTTACCTCTTTAATTTCCTCTCGCTCGACTCGCAAGCGCTTATTGACATCTTCCAAGCTTTTCAACGTCTGCAATGCAATAACAAATTAATACCCGGGCTAAAATTTAAAACGTTAGTCTTGCGCTTTGAAATCTCAAAGGGGCCAAGTAGATAAATTAGACGTATTTGAAGTCCCATCAAGCCGTTGAAATCTAGAGCTCCCTATGAGCCTAGCAGTTTCATTAACGTCCAGATCCGAAAAGAGGCAGTCATACGTAACCTGGTTGCATAAAATTCATCATATCAACCAACATCTCACTGAGTTTCTTACTCCTTTAAAATCCTCTCGTTCCGCTCGCAAGCGCTTATTGATTTCATCGAAGCATAGAACCTTCTGCACATTTGATTTTTATTTGAAGCAAAAACTATATCAGTGGGTGTTATGCTTCTACACCTCCAGACACTGCTTTCATAGATTCATTGAAGATGTCTCATGTTTATTCCCATATGTACCACTGCAGTCACTACGACTTTAATCACCCTCGAGATTTGGCTCTCAGTGTAAATTATAGTTCACACTCAGCGTACAAAAGTTGCGAAAAAATTAGCTTACCTCTTTATATTCTTCTTTCTCGGCTTGCAAACGACTACAAAGTTCTTCAACGTTTTGAATCCTCTGTAGCAGGATAAATTGCATATATTTGTGTCATGTAGGACTTTAGCAAGCTTCTTTCTTTGAAGATAATACTGCTGTCGATTATTATCCCATGGTGTAGTATGAATCTGGGCCAAGAAGAGTTATCTAAACAAGTTTCTTCTCTTTCATTTCTATGAATTTCTGAATCTCCAAAAACAAGTAATTTCATAGCTTTCTCACCTCTTTAAATTCTTCTCTTTCATCTCGCAAGCGTTGATTGTCCTTCTTAAAGCCGTTGAGTTCCTGCAATAGCACACAAATGGCCAGTTGTTCAATTAAACCAAGGATAGTTGCCTGTCTCTATACTCTGTGTTACGATATTTCCAAAATACCATGGAGTTCTTGAGAATGATTTGAAAGTCGATGTGACACCACCTTTGAAAGTTGTAATACTTGCCTCCCTTAGAGATTGTGATATTAAAGTTGTAAAAAGTCGCTTACCTCGTTCACCGCTTTAAGCTCTTGCATGCGCCTGTTGTCATTTTTCTGAAACACGAATAGTGAATTTCTAGGTCAAGGACTTCGAAGTTCATTGTAGACTTTACTTTTCTCTGAATACATATGCAGACATGAGGGTATTCATTTGAAAGCCCTCATGCAGTTTGAGTCTCAATAAGTAAGTTGTGGTTTTAAACTTTTCCAATACATGAATTGTTAGTATGTCCTTTTCATATGTTATATAAAATATGCAGCCATCATGATTTTAGTTATGTACCCTTGAGTTATGGGAGATACCAGTTTGAGTTCTATCTGACAACTCATGTGTTTTTTTGTCAAGACTGTTATATCAACTGGTCGACTCCTTCACTTTCATTTGTGGACGTGCATATACTTGAGTGAATGAAAGAGATTTGATTGATTGGAAGCTTATAACATAGATCATTAGTTGAAAGGGACAGCCTGATCTTTTTATTAAACCTATTTTTAATCCCTGTGCTCAAACTGGAACTGGCTATTTCTGTCATCAAACTTTGTCATCAACTCCATCTAAAAGGTTCTCTAGTCAAAATACTGCACGTATCCTACACTCGGTGCTAAAAAGTACGGATAATTTAATTAAGTGGCAACAACGTCCACATCATAGTCTTTGTAAAAGTACTCGATAACGATGGAAGCAAAGTTTAAGAAGATCCAGGAACCAAATGTATCACAATTACCTCTTGACTTTCCTTATGTTCAGTATGAAAGCGCTCAATAGTTTCCTCAAGAACTTGAATTTTCTGCGTTGCCAATTGGAAAACAGAGTGGCCATCTTCTAATTATGAACCCCATATCGAGTTAAGCGTGGGCTCCTCTTTCTCTAGTAGAAATCATTACACAAATCAGACGAGTTTCACGACAAGCGGTTTCCTAGCTGCTATATATATGGAAACACACAACTTATCTTCCAAGAAAAAACTGTCTAGAACATCTTGTAGGACTATGAAATTCAAGGTCATGATTTTCTAACTTGATGGATGCACCCTTATACCTCTTCATAATTCTTGCACTGAACTTGCATACGCTGATTGTCATCTTCAAGAACTTGGGTTTTCTGCAGTGATAGTGAAAATTTTCAACTTTCTGCAAAAAGAATTGTATGTGAAATTTTCTTGAAAAAGAAAACGTCATATGGATATAATTATGTTTAAGAGGCGCATGTCAGCCTTATGAAAGCACACATAGCAAATTTCAATCAATTTTGTCTAGTCTGAATAGATCAGTTGACCAGCTCAAGCTTTAAAGGGTCAATTGACTCTTAGAAGGCAAATATAATGTGCTGTTTGATGTATGGTCGCTGCTTAGCAAATCTTAGTTTCCTCACTTTCCTTATCGGCAAGCATTTGTAACCTCGGTAGGTTAAAGCTAACGAAAATCTTATAAGTTCGCGGTCTGATTGAAGCTGACACTATAACTACTATATGAATGTCAACCTGATGCCTCTAATGAAAACTTCTGTGGTCAGTCAACGAACTTCTGCCCAAATTCTGTCCCTCACCTCCTTGCTCTCAGTTTGAGTAATTTGCAAGTGTTCCTCAATGGACTGGATTTCCTGCAGAACATGTGAACAAGACATCGTGGATCAGAAGAAAGAGAGTGTTATATGAACACTCCAGACGCTCTTTCAGTCACAGCATGTGTATAGAAAGTGGCTAATTCATGGGGAGAAACTTCAGAACTGCACTGCGAAAATTTCGTCTTAATGTACTGCACATCTTGCACATTGTGTATCTTTGTTAGGTCGAGTAGCTCATTCCTTAATCCATGACGCATATCACTGTCATCGATGTAGGTCCAAGCGTTTTACTGGAGCTAAACAGAATGCATAATACCGGGATTGTGGATATCACGCTGAGTTCATAATTTGCAATAGTGAGAGTTACCTGCTTGTGCTCCCGCCGCAACTCCTGTTTAAGTTTCTCATGCGTTTGAATCCTAGCTCCAAACCAAGAAACATCCTCTGTATGACTTCACGTAGCGTTGCTATGTAATATAACGACTGTTATATGTGGTGTAAACTTCCCTGTGCCCTATTCGTCGTTTTTGTGTATGTATAAACCAATCTCAAAGAGACACTCAGCACAAGAAAATGTTTGGTCCGAGACAACCTTGCTTGACGGTACAAAGCTTTGTGCTCAACAGTTCCACAGTTTTACTACGATGAAGTCCTGATTGGAAAATATTGTTTCGCTTTGAATATGACAGATTTATTTAAGAGAGCTTTAATAATTTCAAAGGACTATCTGCTTATCTTTTATGATTACCAAGAGCTATTTATTACCATGAGAAATATACCTACTTTTTTTCAAGCTTGCGTATGGTCTCCGATTGTTCTTTCAAAAGCTTAGCCTGGTCCTCTGCTATCGTTGTGCAGTTTGTAACTGTGTCCGACAGTTTCTGAATAACCTCGTGGTCAGGAAAACCTATGAGCCATGGATATCATTTCGAGCTCCAAGTTTCAGAGTCATTTTCATTGTACACAAAACTAAATGCCTTCCTCAGAGGTGGATATTTCATGCGTTTAATTATTTGTCTACAGTATCTTCTTGTTGAACGCTTTACACAAATTTCTGAATGAAGAGTTGAAAACATCACTATTGGGACGACAAAACTGAGTTCTACGTAAAGGGGAATAAACCAGAGAATAGGATTTGTGCACCAAGTAGGGTAGTGAGAATCATATCTTCATCAACTTCTTGAGAGTTTGATTACATTAAGCATATAAGTACTCAAATATAGTGTTGAGAGGAAGATTTTCTTTTTATATGATTTAAGAAAAATTAAATAGCTGGATGTGTCTAACTGATGTTACTCGGACGTATATAACAGTAACCGCCTTTTACATCTGAAACATGAATCTTTTGTCCATCGAAAGCTTGGACTACATCTTCAGAAGTTATTCTTTCAGTGAAAATTGATTCATGAAAATTATAGATTATGCAAAGTTTTATGTTTCAGGCATTGAGTGTACCATCAATTCATGTACAGCATTATCCCGCTCTTCTCGTAGCAATCTCATTTGCACTTCACTGCAGAATTGCACGAAGAGATTCCTCAGACGAAACTGTAAGAATATGCCTCATTAATCTGTTTTATATATATATATTTGTGTATTACTTGCTTTCGAATTTCTTCTGATTGGATATCTGCAATCTAGATGAAAATAAGAAACAAGAGACAGGATTGAACTCAAGCGACGGCAAGGTTTCTGAGCAAGCAGAGCCTATCACCCGTACATAACCGTTTTCACTATTTTGAATCCAGGGAGCTGAATACAGTTGACTTGCGATAACATCAAATGAAATCCTAGCCTTCATACAATTTACATATCTTTTGGTGTACTTTTCTTATATAGCAATTTTTACTTAAAGAAAATAACCTATAGTTTAGGCGATCTTTTATTTCTCGAGCTAGCTTATGGGCTTGACTGCCACCACTGCAAGCTTTCCGAGGATTCTGCACAGTGATCCCAGAAGAGATTGAAGAGATCAATCTGCTGCAGGTTTTTCAAGTAGAAAATTTCAGCATACATTTACTCTTCCGGACGCGTATTAGAAACTCTATATTGAAATCAAGTTAGACAAGGATGGCCATAGATCAAGTAAGGGTTCATCAAAGGTAATAAACCCGTGAGAGAATTGAAAAATATCATAAGGATGGTGACAACATGCATGGCTCTCAAAAGTTACGAATGAAATGTGTAGAAGCGGTGAAGAGCCAGCCTGAGAGGATAGGAGAGGATGAGTGGGAACAGATATCTTATGTGATAATAAAAAGAGGAGTTTTAAATAAGCTGATTACTCAAGAAATTAGCTTTGAAGTGTACAAACAGGCAGTAAGTACGTTTGGAGATGACATGAACAAAAATGGATAACAGAACATACAAAACTTTAATGAACACTACAATAATTGCAGAAGTTATCCTTCTATTTCTTCAGAATTCGGGAACGAAACATTAGCTGAAGGCGTAGAGTTTCTGAAAGACAAGCCGTAGTGCATAGCAAGGGGCAGGACGCACCTGATGAAGGAAATGAGAGCTGTACAATATATAACAAGCAAGCACGGGAAGAGTCAAAACTAGAGTACACCAGGATGTAAATAGACTGACTAATGGGCTCCTAACGAGTTATAAACTACATTTGCTACAACACAATTTTCTAGTGATTGGGTGGAAATGAAAAGCAGCAGATGGGAACCATAGACTCCCGACTTTTATGAAGGAACCTATGAGGTGAATCACAAGACTAAAGCTTTCATTTCAAAGTACAAGCTCCGCAGATTGTGAAAGTAAGATTCGCGAAGACTTTTGCAGCGGAAATATTGATCAGAGTCGACAAATTAAGGTTACGTATTAATCATCTGCGGAGATGTGAAAAGACGTATGTTAACTATATCAGGAGATCGTGTTCATGGTAGACTAACGGCACTGTTTGTGGCCATGTGTATCTCTACAAGTGATACAGTTTTAAGTGCACTATGCTGTTTAGCCTTGATAAGTGAGAGATAGTTGTTGCTCCCAGAAAATAAAGATCAGGGCCAGTTGTGATTACATAGGAAATTGCCAACTTGCCAAACCGTTTTTAATACACCATAAGTAGAACTGTTATATAACATTTGCAGATATTCATATTCTGGATGAACCAAGGCCTCTCGACAATCGCAATTTCTATGTCTATTGCACTTAGATAAATGAAAACATTCGTTAGTGAAACAAGGCAGGCTACTCCCAGGCTGTTGCCATTAAGAAAGTCGATTGTACAGTATAGGAATGTCAGGAGAAACAAAGATGTGGTCAAGACACGGAGTTCAGGGGGCGGTAGCAAGCTCATGGAGAAGGAGAAGTTGCCGAAGTTGAAGATGCTTGCGATGTTTGTCCAAGATAACCAAGCAGAGCTAATACAAGCTTAAAAGATGTGGTTAAGACACGGAGTTCAGGGGGCGGTAGCAAGCTCATGGAGAAGGAGAAATTGCCGAGGTTGAAGATGCTTGCGATGTTTGTCCAAGATAACCAAGCAGAGCTAATACAATCTTAAACCTCTGTTACATGAGACCAGCGGGGATCTGATCTCAACAAATGTAAGCAGTGCATAAAAGTTACTTCCTTTTCCGTTATGTGTATCACGCAAAACGAGAAGAGCACACACCTGCGGAAGCAAAGTTCCTGAAAGATTAGGACAAATTTCGCTCCTTGCAGACTGGTTAGCCAGGACCCATCTCCGTCCTCTACAGGAGTCATCCACTTGTCCATTTTCGTCCCAAGAATTCAGTGTCTGCTCTGATATATAAATCACACTAAGTTAGTTGCAAGGCCTTCGTCAGGGGATGCTTCATTATCAGACTTATTTAATATCGGAGTACCTTGAAAAACAGTCCAGGACATAGAGTTTTGCAGTCATGTGTTCGTACGTTTGCCGACCTACTAAGCCTGGACAAACTTCAGTTTCTGAATCGATAGTGGATTCAGTGTATTGCAGTTAGTGATTTTGACCGCTTGCATGCCTGGTTATAACTAGGACTGGACACTTGTACGATAACCCACTCTGAAAAAGAAAATTTGGAACAGAACGGTATATGTCGAAGTGACTGATTCCTAACATCAATAAAGTACGTCTGAAAATCGGTAAGGAGTTCGTTTGCCCGTCATATTCACTTTGATTATATTCTGTTTGAAGAGCATGGTTACAATCATAGACCTAACAGTCTCACCTGCAGCACCTGGTACGGTGAAACCATAAACCCTAAAAGATACTTCAGGAAGAAACCAGACTTTGAGATAAGCTTTTAGTGATTGTTGGCATGCAAAATCCTGACATTTCAAAGTCAGGCGTGACCTGTAAATGAGGCGACGCAGCTCCGATATCTGCTCTTTCGATGCTCTCGTCGAGAGACTGAAGTTCTGAACAAGGATAGTCTATGGAACCTCTGTTGATATGCGTTTGGTAATGACCATCTGCTGGAGAATGACGGTAGAGATTGGGACAAAGACGATCTTCCGTGGACTCCTGCTCCTCAACTGGGACAGCACGTCCCGTATCACACGCTAGCGCATCTGCATATTCACATCGTCGACGACCGGGGCTTCCAGTCGCTCCGTTGCAATCAACCATACGATCATGCGTGCAGGGCATTGTTCCGAGTCTCGATCATAAACGTGACAAGTTCAGGCCCAAGGACCTTGGAGAAGAGGGAAAGCCCGGTGCCCAAGAAACATCTTCTCTATAACAGGTTTGACCGTCTTGGTATAACCTGCCACTGGATAAACGCCAGCACTCCCTCTTGCCAGCTTCAAGGAAAAGGTCACGGCTGTAAGGGAACAAACCGTTTTGTGAGCGAGCTGGTACTCGTGTTTAAAAGTTTCACGAAGTGCATGAGGGGAAAATATAAAACATGGCGACCGGGCGTCCAGTGCCACCAGAATTCAAAGGACACCAACTGGGAAACCTTCATAAGACAATCTAAAAGAAAAAATGCAAAGACTGAAAGACGCAATGTGCTTTTTTAGACAACGTTCGTTCATTGCGATTCAAAGAAATGTGATTACTTTGTTCACCCTTCTCCTTAAGTTATTCAGACAACGTACATGTCACCAGTGGGCGTTCGAGAGTAAAAGCACGAGGACAGTCTGATCACACAGATCGGAAAAGGATTCATCGTCTTGTGAGAGGAGGGTGATCGCGAAGTATCCTTTACAACAGACCGACTGTTTGAAGCCAATACATAGAAGCAACCCCAAGAGCTACATTCACGACGTTCGCGCGTAGAGGAAAACCTTACCTAACGTCTAAGACTCAGCACTGTCTTTCCCACCCAATTTGTAGCAAAAGGACAGCAGGTTTTCGAGCTCTTTACTGGAGCACGAAGGGAAAGATTGAAGAAAGTACTGTTGTCGCAGTGTATTGAATTTGAGTTCGCAAACTCTTGTTTCGAAACCAGCCGTGAAAAATGATCATGCTACAACTCTGGCAGGAAAATTTCGCAGGTTTTACGACTTCAAGAAACAGATGAACCACACACAGCGTTGTGGAGAAGTATTGGTACCACCGTAGTCTGAAGCTCGACCAAGACGAGAAATACGTTTTTAGAACTCCAAACCTGCACCATGGAACGCAGAAGCATTCAATCCGACGAAGCCATGTCGATCACAATTCTTTCTTGTCGTCTTAAAGATTGCAACCCATGTAAACTACAAACGAAGCGCGATCCGGCAAACTCTACTGCCAGACTGAACGTGGGGAATTCCCAGCTAGGATGTACAACTGCAGGAGTTTCCAGCGAGCCAAACTCAAATTCGAACAAAATCCCAATTGGATGGAATGACATTCCACTTCTGTCTCAGCCGGCGAACGCCAACTCTCCGCAGCGCAAGTCACCGCGTGAATAAGGAGGTATGCCAGTACTTGAGTGCTATCAGAGTTGGCAGAACAAATCTATAGCATTGAATGCAGTAATATGTTGTGTTTGAGGCTGAATCACTCATGAGGATTTCCATAAGAAGTGTACTCTTATCTATTCAAAAAAATGTCAACTGTCTGTTTCTTACGTTCAACCTATATTACATCGTTGGAAAAAATTCCGGAATTTGTCTTCATCTGTTTAACTAAATCATGTGACCTTTCTCCAAAATTCCTTGTTCTTCATGTGCTCAAGCTTCATAGTTCCAATCTTTTTAACAGCCTATCAAAGCTAAAAAATAATCTATCACAGATTCGCTTACTTGCCATGGCATTTGATTTATTTAAACCCATAAAAATAAATCATGCGTTTTGATAAAATACAATGACAATAGCATTTTTTCATCATTTCAAAAAATAGAGATTTCATTACAATTAGCCCCATACCATTGTAAAATCCTCACATATATAAAATATTATTCAATGCTGCTAAATCTTACTATCTAAACATCAGTTTTAATTTATTAAGGTGGATTTAATGTGATAATTGATATAATCCAGCAAAAATATGTATTACAATCATAATTAAACTATAAGTAGTTAACATAAGGATTTTTATGATGATAAGTATTCATCATGATTTGTGTATATTTTTGAAAAAATTTGTGAAAAAAAATCAATTTAACCTAAAATTAGATAAATTTTATAAAAACTTCAAAGAAATAACATCAAATATTGATCGATTGATTCTTATTTAATTTAAATTATACCAAATTACATCATTTAAAAGCTAAATAGTGCTATGATTTTAATTTTTGTGTAATATATTTTACACTCTCATATTGAGAAATTCCAAGATTTAAAATAATTCAGAAGAAATCTTAAATTGGAACACATTTCATTAAAATTGTATATAATGCACTTTAGATATATATATATTTCATTCATATCAAATCTATATAAATAATTACTGTAACAAATTTCCAATAAATATATTTAAGAACTTTTCTTTAAAAAACCATATTTTATTGAAAATTAATATAATTCACAATTCATAAATTCAAAATTATCAAAATAAAATTTATCATTAATATGAAATATAAATGCATCAAATTCCAAATTATATTTTGTATGATATATAATATCATATTAGTTTCATATCATGTTTAAATATATTCTTACTATAATATTATTTGTAATGAACATAAATAAAATTTATCAAAAGTAAATATATTTAAATAATTGATATACACTTAACATAAATATATAAATGATTAAGTTTATCTGAATGATATGGAACATTAATATATATGTAAATACATTTTTTACTATGTAAATCTTCAACTGTCTTGTAGTCTCTTGTCACCTAATAAAACATACAAATTTGATTTTGTTTGAAAAAAATTATAAATATAATAGAAAAACTATAAATTTGAATCCAAAATCATGTACATTTTTTAGTACTTATTAATTTATTTATAAACTGATCTCTCATGTTCTCTAATCAAGGATGTATATCAATGACATAATGTGATAGTTATAAGACATACTAAATATTGAAATTATGTTTATATCTTGATTCAATTGTGTCAACATCATCTAAAACTATGCATAATTAGTATATTCAAGTGGACTAACTGATGTTCACGGTTAAGTATGTTCATTTGGCTCTATTTTTCCAAACTCATGAAACAAATTAACCAAAAAAACTTTAAGATATTGTGTTATGCTTTACTTTTAAACTTAAATTGAGATACAAGAACTTGAATTTGAAAAATATCAAATATGAATGCAAAATCAACAAAAATCCAATTGATACTATAATAAAAAAAAATTTGAATAAAATTTGAAGTCAGGTTTTTTTCAAGAAAAAATCATCAATATTTTAAGTGATTAATACTTTGGTCATATTTTTATTCGTATTGTCTGACTAAACATGCTCTAATTTAAAGAATAAAGAAAGCATGAATGAATATTTTAACAAAAAAATTTAAAGACATTGACCATTTATTTTATTTGCTCTACTTCTAAGCTTAGAAGATTTATTTTCAAGATCTTAAAGTTTTATATAATAAAGTTTGAGTTTAAATGAAGTTAAAATAAGCACATTCAATCTACTAAATTAAGATGAAAATCATGAAGATTGCCGATGCTTATTTGAAATTATCAAGTAAAATATAATTTTCAAATTAAGTGATATGATAACAATTTGATTAGAAAAAAAGCAATTTAAAAAAATAAAATTGATGCAAAGATTGATTTGATGTCAAAAAATGTATGTAACAATAAGAATATTTATAAATTTATTTATTTAATACAATGATCATAAACTACATCACTATATTTTAAATTTTCATATTTTATAGCATTATTAAGCATTAACCATATAAGGAAAAGAGTCTTTTGTGCCATGAACAAAGTTTGTAATTTTGTTTATAAAATAATTGCTAACCTAGTTTAAAAAATCTAATCTATATAATAGACTTCAATACAGGCTTAATCAAAATCAACAAACATTTTACATATTCTTATTTGTAAATATATTAATAATATAATTATGTTTTTTTATATAAATATACAAATTGCATTGAAAATGTTTCAAAATCATGAATGATCATTTAATCATACTAAAATGATCATCAATGATTATTTTAGTATTTTTAAAATAATAATTACAAAAACATAGCTAGAATAAATATGTTTCAGCCAAGAGAATACAAATAAACAATAAAATAGAATCTTTCAATGTAACACATATATTTGAATATATATTGAAAAGAATGAAAGTTAAATTATTTGTTTTATTTTGTTGGTAACAAGGTGCTAGCTAGTAGCAGGGTAAGAAATACAAATTTCAAGCTTTGTTTCATAGATTTTAGCAAGATGAAATCATATATTGAGAACAAGATTTGTAGAATTAAAAATATATCAAAGGATAAGAATTTTTATACTAAATTATAAATAAAATGTTAGAAAATAAGTTTATATTTTAGCAAACAAAATCTATAACACATGATCAATGAATAAAAAATGAATATTAATTTTTTTAAGCTAAATCAAGAAGTATTTATATTGGTATTGTGAATTTTTTAATGTATATTTGATAATGTAATTTATAATTTTTTATATTATGACTATAGATATCATAATCTTAGCATTTTATATTTATTATAGTGAAAGTATTTTAAAATACTAATGTATCAACTTTTATGAGAAAAAACTAAAAGATTTAAATGTTTGTTAAATTCTATGTCTTATATTAAATCAATATTTTAACAATAGAAAACAGTAATTTCTTATAAAAAAATTAAATTTGTTGGATGATTCTTTTGTATGCATACAATATTGAATATTAGTATTTTGGATTTATGATTTTAAAATATTTATGTAAATGACATGATTATGCATTAAAAATATATTTGGTCTCCATAAACCTGAAACTGTCTTCATTTGGAATGTATATCACACAAGATTGGTACATTAAATTGATTTTAGAAGTAGTTATCACATTTGAAATCTGTTAATGTGAATAAAGCATGCTTAAAATTTACATGCAAGGTATATCATGCCAATATCCTACTATCCTTCGGTGATGGTTGTGAAAATTTGTTATAATGCATTCTCTCTTTACAACAGTAACATGTGTGAAAATATACCTATATTTTCAGACATAATTTTATTTAGTATGATATACACATATGTAATACATGAGATTAATGATCATCAATATTATTATTTAAAAACTAGATACATAACTTCTCGTATATATATAGGAGAAATTATATATCTAATTTTTAATTTCTTCTTATTATATAATTTTACATTCATCGAAAATTCTTTTTATAGTTGGAGATGAAATTATCTATATATCTAATTGTCATATATATCTTCACTTCCTATTATATGTTTCATCCGAAGGAATGAGTATCAAGAAGGACAATTGGAACATTGTACACGGTACAGAGAACCAAAATCAACTTTTCACTTGTCTGATTGGATGTCGCGTAAAGTAAGAGGAATGGGTTGCCTCCTGCTGAAATCGTGAATCAGGTTGATAGAACATTCCGGGAAAGTCGTCCCCGAGAAATATGACACTGAAAGACAGCGGACTGTACAAAAAAAAGGCGGCCAGTCAGATGTTCTGATGGGATCGCCGGTTGCCAGTGACGTGTGGCAGGATCCGGCGAGGAGCGCGAAAGCACGCATCGACGCACCGTGCGATCTGAGACGTGTCTGGGTTGGGTGAATAGGCGATCGTAATAATGGATCTCCATATTCAGGGCGGCAGGAAAGGCCGAGTTCGCATTACTCTCAATAACTGTCTCGCCGTGATCTGACCCGGCGGTCGGCAGTTACCGTCTACCTGCACCCGTCTAGACCGAATGTCAACACGTGGCGGGCGTCGTGAAGGTCGGGACCCTACACGTTCCGAAAGCGACAGCAGGGCCGGCAAGGGCCGCGTGCATTCCTCTCACCGGCCGTTGAACGGTCAACATGCCGGCCCTTTTGCAGGGAGAGAGTTCGGCACCGGTGCTGCTCCTTATCACGGCTTCCCTGTTGTGAGTCGTCGTGAGCTGCTAGTGGGTTTTTCTGCCGTACCGCCGCCGGGACCCTCTCGGCCACGTGGGTCGCCTCGTTTGCGACGGCAGACTCCTCTGGTGCGTTTACCGGGCAATTACATATGCCTGATACATCTAAGAATAGTATCTTCCTCCCATGTTTGTCTCCTCTGTGACTGTTAACCCCGGACTTACTTCTCATATTTGAGCTGTTCCCACGGATAGCCATGGGCCTCCCCTCCCTCCTCTGCAGATTCGAAGAATCATGAGAGTACTTACCTTCGTTTGCTTCTCTCGTGAGCCTGGTCCTCAATGGGCACTCGAGGTCCTGTCCTCTCTCCCAGGGTTCCCTGTTTTAGACCGAGAAGAAGGCGGTTCCTGTTTGGTCTCGCGTCCAATATAATTCTCCATACAGCGGAAGGAACTATATCTCCTTGTTAATAGTCTGTTCGCGCACAACCAGGACCTGAGTCTAGA